GCTCAGGCAACGTCAGCACTGGGACTTCATCAATGGAATCCGATAAATAATAGGAAGATAGCTTCCGTACATTACCGTCATCAAAATACCTCATTGCCAAACTTGTCAATATAGGCATAAGGGATTCTGAGTCATACAGAAGACTCCAACCTTTCTGGTCGGGACCAACAAAGATTGCGGAAAAGAAAAAAAGTAAAAAGGAAGCAAAAGTGGCGGAGAAAATTGGTGGCATCGATGGTCCTCCTTATGATACGCCATGCATCCGAGCCTCATTTGAAATAGGAAGCACACCTTGGATGATTTGGAAGCATAACTTCAGGCCTTTCACTTTGTGGCTGTGACATGCAAGTCACACCACTAAAGTGTCCTCTTTTGTCACCGTTTGTAATCCATAACCCAGGCAATCACCTCCATCTCCGTGGTAAATTTTTGACGAGTTTCACCCAATTTTCTACAATATATAACTGGTGCTTTCAGAATCCGCGTTGGCCGGCAATCACACCACGCATGTCGGCTACACTATCCTGAGAAACTTCAAAGGAAATTTGGCTGTCCCGAAAGATGAAAAATGGTCTGAAAGTGGCAGTCTAAAAGGAGGAGAGGAGGTGAGTTTAAAAGGAGTGCGGGTCTCAAATTAGACTAGCTAAGATCCCCGTCGGTTCCCCATGTAGGTGCGCATAAATCAGGGCTTATATTTTTTTTGGCTTCATCTTGACTAATTCAAGTAGGCAGGTCGCGAAAAGGCTTTACCGCACAACAAAGTCTAGAGATCTTATAATTTCACGAGAATCAGACTTAATTTCTGATCTAAACCCAAAAAGGGCTCATTTCATGGTCTCATTCATAGATTCCCCTTTATATCCATGACAGAATCGCAAAGGGGCGGGAGGCTTGCTTGGCTTCATCTCTATGTGTGAAACGGCTAAGCTGCATCGATTCCCACTTATCTTCGTGTTTTTCTTCACAGGTGTTAGCTTCTTGTTCTGCCTTAAACTTTCATCCAATCCATTGTAGTAATTACCCTAACTAGTCACCGCCTAGACCCCTGAAGCAGCCAAATAGTTAGTTTCTACCACCCAGTCGGACCCCTGCATGTCTCTGTTAGTAATTTCTTTATTTCCTTTATTTTGAACTTTTTAAAAAGCCGTGTTTGTTTCAGAAGTACTTCAGATCTGCATACGCTTTCGACTTCGTCGGCTTTTGCGGCTGTGAAGCGCGAAAGCCGCCATTCTCGCAAACTGCGGACACTTCTCAAGAAGGTCCATGTCTTCAAACACAATCATCTCACCTACAAAACATGCTTTGGCGCAATTCATGTTAGGGGGTGAGTGAGTGTTTTCCAATTGAAACTGATCTTCTACCTTTAAAGGTGTATTCCATGACAAAGCTAAATGAATCGAGACCTCCGCGCATATAATAAGACTCTTCGCAGAGGACAAAACCATTCATTCAAAGTGCCTGAGAAGGCACGACAAGTGAGTTAGGGGCTCACACTTGGCATCGGCTACTGTTGAAATTCGTAGGGCTGCCGCCTACACAGGATGGTTTTTGCGTCTCACTTGTCACTGTGCTCAATCGTCCCTTCCCTCTTCTCGGCGCCCAATGTTTTTTTGCTGATTTATTGTTCTTTGACTTTACTGGCTGTCGTTCTTGCATCTACTTTATAATTTCATTTTCAAGTAAAATAAGCACAGCCAATTACGGGAAGAGTATCTAAAAGCAGGAAATGCGGTGAAGTGCTTGATTAGCACTTGGAGGGCATCCTGTGTTAATGCTCAGAGCCTCTCTGTTTCCCTGCGATTTCCCCACTCACGTGAAGCCATCTACGCGATGAAAACAAGTCCCTCCCACCTGTTTGGGCTGCGAGTGGAGCTGCTACCACGGGAAGTGCACAGGGCTGGCCGTTTAAAGCCTTTTCCACCAGCCTCCCTTTCCCCTGGCAAGTTGCATGCTGACCACTCTCAACATAGCTAAGCATTTGGCCGATAGATATCCACTCGGGGGATGCGCATTTATGTGGAAACCTGTAGAGAGGATGTCGACAGCAACTTAAGAGGGAGGACGCACAGTGTCCGTTTGACATCCTTTGCTAGAGTAAAACCAAGCTATCTGGAGACAGCTCCCTTATTCTGGCAGTTGATTGATAACACTCTGCAGAAGAAGCAAGACCACACCAGTTTTTGTCTACAGCTGGCCATAAAATGGATGGTTGGGGAATAATCACAAAGTCCAAAGCACCGAAGTGCTTGCATTCCCATGGAAAAATCTGGACGTAGAAAGTGCTACAGCATTGTACGAATGTATCAGAAACCGATGAAAGAAGCAAAGCTTCCGCAGCTGATGGTGAGTCCAATGGAAATTGCGGCGTCGAGGATGGCGGCTTCCCGAGGGGGAAGAATATGGAGATCGGGACTAGATCGTCACGGGATCACGAGAAGGTCACAAGAATGTGATCGCAAGGGAATTCCACCTCCTCCCCCTCCCGTCCCCCAAAGATCAAGAAGGCCAGGAGTGCGCTATAAAAGGCAGGCAGAGCCTCATGAGAGGTCTTCCTCTTATCTCCGGCGGTGCGGGCAATGGAATCACCAGAAGTCCCCCATCCCGAATCCCTTATCTTTCCAACGTCAACTGCAGCAGTCGATCTTCTCTCTACCTCGAGGAACCCCCACAGCTCTTCGTATTCGTCCACTTATCGAACCCCCTAAATTCTTCTACTCACTCTGTTGTTTATTATTGTGTACGTTGCAATAAACTCTTTTTTCACGTTCACTTCAACACATGTGGAGATCTACGGGCCTCGTACACTACATGAATCTACTACAATCACTAAAAAACACTTCTGCTGTCACAAGAACAATACAAGCTTAACTCGAGGGATTTAGCCTCTCTTTTATTTATTTACTGTGAAAACGAACGACACGGAAATCTTCGTCTCTACTAATGTTGAGCCAGAGTATGGCATGAGATACAGTGCGTTTCAAAAGTATGTGGACACCTCAAAATCCACGTTCCAAAGGAAAATAAGAGGGGCCTCGGCTATTTTATTTTTATTTATTTATGGACATGTGACATACACATGTAAGAGCAACATAAACTTAATAACGTCAGTAACAGAAGACATCAACCAAGAGTTAGTGCAGCACCAGTTGCTACGAGACCCTCTTCAATCGACTCCTCGTAGTCGATAACCTATCAATGGAAGCAAAGCAGATAATATCGCCTCACTTTCGAAAGAAAATTTTGGATGAAATTTTTTTCTTTGTTTCAAAAGTATGTGCACACTTAACAAAAGACAAAAACATAGCTGAGATTAGAAATCAGTGGGGCCTCCAGAGTTTCTAATTCAGCTCAAACATCCTGTCCGGCATAAGTCTGCAGCACATTTGCAATAGTTGCTTCACGATGTCGGTCCAAGTAGCCTCTACCGCCGTTTTCAGTTCATCCGCAGTTCTGTACAGCCGGTTCTTAAATAAAGAAAGAGAAAAATATCATTATTAAAGTATTAAAGGAATTTATGGTTCTTTTCGCCTATGAACTCAGACGAACCACTATACTTCGTCAACCCTCGAGGCTCATCAGTGAGAAATGGTTGACGAAATAAAAGAGATATGTGTCACAGTGATGAAAAAAGAAGGAATGTGGTGAAAAATGTATTCAAGTAAGAAGATAACGTATACAGCAACGAAACTGTTCAACTGGAGAATTATGCTTTGTTAGTGCATAACAGCAAAAGGTAAAGTGTCAAAACAGGCGTTCCCTATAATGGTTTGTAGCAAAGATAACACATCAAGCCGCATCTACTCTTCAGCACCCATTGCGTTTGAGCCGGATTCTTTGCGTCGATCTTGCGAAGCAATGACGACGCGTTATCCTGTTGCGAAACATGCAACCATAGCCGCGCTCTAAGAAAAGGCAACAAGTGGTATTGGAGAACTTTTTTGGTAAATCCTCATCATTCATATGCATAGAACGAAGGGCCACTTCCAACTTCACGTTGCTTGCGAAGCCGCCCCAGACCATCAACGGGCCTCATCCGGAACTCCTTCTCGAGAACCTGAGCGGTTCACTGCCAAGCCACTTCAGCCAGCAAATCTTATTTTTTTTTTCCGAGTTAAGATTACCTAAGAAGGGAAATGGTTGCATAAAAATTGTTGTTGTTTTAAGATAGAAGAAATTCGTCGAAAACCGTTCCTATCCTGTTGTGCCATTACGAGCAGACTACAAATCTTGCTAACTTGCACTGAGCCTTGGAGTGAGCAGCTTTTCTAAGTGTAGTGATTATCGAGTGGTGTATTCATTTGAGCGGATGAGGCTAACGATAAATGCTCGTTCTCAAGGCTGGCTAAACCCATCTGAGCTCGGACAGACAATGAAGAATTCGACAGGATGTGGGCTACTCTTTTGTTGTTCTGAGCAGTCAAGGATCGTGGATGGAGCGGAGTGTGTGCTGAGTATAATTATCAGGGTGCCAGATAAATCTTCGAATGCATTAAGGAGAACGACCAAGTTATCGTGCGATTTCTAGATTGGAACGTTCATTATCATGCAGAACCTTGATCTGAGCTTGCTCATCTTCAGGAAGAAGTATGGCGCGAATTGACATGATGACGAAATGAAAACAGCAAAGTCGGATTGAAATCGGTGGAAAATTCGGCGCCAAAATCTGATCTTCTTCAAGTGTGCACATACTTTTGAAACAAAGAAAAAAATTTCATCCAAAATTTTTTCCGAAAGTGAGGCGATATTATCTGCTTTAACTTATACTTGGTAAGTTATCGACTACGAGCGAGATTGAGAACGGTGACGAAGCCTCTTAGTGACTATTAATTGAATATGGGAATCTGAGGTGTACACATACTTTTGAACCTGCTGGCAATAAAAAAAAAATAGCGATAAAGAACGCAAAATATTAATAGACTCTACAACTCTATAACTTTTGGATCGACTATAAGGCTGAGGCGCACTGTCGTTCGTATCCATCCCCTTAGGCAGTTGTAAACTCACTCGGATTTGCTCCTGAAAATGCATTTCGTTCGGTTCACGTTTTTACTGTGAATTGCAACACCCTAGAGAAACTCAAACCTACTTCCGCTTCTCGGCGACTGCTCTCAGGACGCGGTTACCGGCGAAGTATGTTAGGCTACCAACCACGGCTAAATACTTCAATGTCCCAAACATGTTGAGTTGAAGCCAGAACACGAAGTACAAGGCGAACAGCGCTAAAATAAAGCCATCAGTCCACACAGCACGAGGTGTATTGAACGCAAACTACACAAGCTACCAGTAAGACTTCCATGGAAAATCAGCGTCCACAGACTAAGCGGCATATTGCCAAAATTGAGTCCAATACGGAACCACTGGAAATGAAAAAAGGCTTTATATGTCTGAACGAAGTACAAGTAAATTCAAATCCAAAAATTCTGACCAGCACTAGCAGAAGCAACAGCGGAGCCGAACAGATCAGAGTGAAGGTATCTGAAACAATAGTGGGTGGCCTCTTTTCAGGCTGGCGAAAGACATGCTTAATTTCCGGCAACACATCGTAGTTGATTCGCTGAGATTTTGGTACAACTTCGACAGGTGCTGATGGGAGAGTGAGCATAAAGTCTGCCTGAATTGAAACCAATAGGAAAAAAATTACCAGATATTGAGTGAAAAAATGACTTATAACTCACGAAAGGCCAGTTTACCGGGGTTCGTATGGTTGCATCCCCAATGATGAGGTACGCTGTATAGCTTCCAGAAATCCCCTTGAAATCTTCGTGAGCTTTGGCAAGATTCTGAACACGCTCGAGGATGGTAAATGAACAAGGATACTTTCAGGACACCAATTAATATGATCTACTAATTACACAAAGGCAGAAAAGGAAAACCGACTATATCAACAAGGTATGTTCCGTCAGTCTGCACGTCAGCTTTGTAAAAGACTTCGGAACCATTCGCATGTTTGAACAGCACGAATGCCTTAAAAAGACTGATATAAGATACGTTTCGATAAAAAAAACAAAGATGATCACAACAAATGACAAACCTGAGGCTGGACCAGTGTTCCTGACACCCTGCGCTTAACAGAGAACGAGACGTACAATCGCTTGGTGTGGTCTGCCGAAATGACCTCCCCGTGCCTTGAGGACTGAGCAACACTGCAATATGATTGATGACATGCTACCCTAATGATAGAAACGTAAATTACGGAGTCAAAGAAGTAAAGCACGAGTGACAAGTATAAATGATATGATGAAACAAGTGACATGACAAGTTTCTCTGACGGGGTTAGAAGATGGAGGAAGAACCGCTGCTTCCATCAACTGTGCTTGGAAACATATAAACCTCCAACATTCACTGGTAATTGGTTCCCGACAACCTAATTAACCACACTACATATTGCCAAAAATAGATGTGGCTGCCCACAACTATGGCTGTTGTCAGAGGACCGGGATTCCGCCCCGCGCGATTTGCGCGGATTTAGTTCACAGAGATCACATGTGCCCGATCAGTTACTGCGAGGTGATGCGTTCAACCCGCCGCCATTTCTGTTTCATTTTAATGATGGTTAAGTGACGACTGTTTATGATACTTCCTGTACATTTAGTGTTTCAAATGGGTTCTAACTTAGTGGGGGGGGGGGACCACGCGGCGGCGCGGCGCTTTGCTCGCCTGGCATCTTTGCGTACTTCGGGAAATCCGTGAGCCAGGGGGACTGTAGGCAGTCTAGGGGGGGGTGAGGGCAGTCACTTGACATGTGTTTATTTATTGGATACACTCAAAGGTGTGCACAGTAAGGAACACCACATAACAAACAATAGTAACAATAGGGAGAGCTGTGTGAAAAGCTGGAATAGCTGGAATGTTCGAGTTCACACTGTCTCGCTCGAGAGAGCGCCAGGCGAGCCAAGCGCCGCGCCGCCGCGTGGGTCCCCCCCCCCCCCCAACCAAGTTAGCACCTTCAAATGTTCAAATTCGGGTCATTTGCGATTTTTTGTGACTCGCGGATTCTGGACACCCAGCTTATCGCGAAGCTCGACCTTGCGTATGCATGCAGATGTGTTTACCTTAAATTATCTTGAACTCAGAAGAAAAATAAGCAGGGCATCTTAATTTCCAGTAACAAAATATATGATAGATTGCGTATTGCCATTTCAGTCGCTCCTATTACAATTGAACAAGTGACGACGTAAAAGTGTCGTGAAAACGAGAATAATTGCAAAGAAATGAAAGAAAAAACGAATGAGCTGGTGCAAGTAATAATGAACCGTTCATAAGACCTACTCACCTAGTAAGATTTGCTACAGTGATGACATCGTCGGTTTGGAGTGCTCCGACCTTCAGGTCCTCTACTTTACTTCGTTCGGACTGTTCTCATGAAACACTGTATTGGTTAGCCATAAGTTTCCCACCACAGGTAGTCTTTTCCCTGTGGGCGGACGTCCGACAAAGCAACTGATAAGCCGAACACATTGCAAATAGCGATGATGACAGGCTACAAAAATGTGGGATTGTTTTAAACTTTGAAGAATCAAAAGGAGACTTACCGTCATGCGATTGAACATGACGGATCCTCTCAGGGGTGCAACGACTGGCACAAAGTTGAGTGACATTATTCACAAAGACTTCAAGAGCGCTAAGCAAATGGAACGCAGACTTATTCAGTGACCACGTTTTCGACATAGGAGATATTGGTGAAAAAAGTTGATCCTGTGAAGAAAAAAATGAAATTAAGTTCAAAGTAATACATTGCAATATTGCAGGGCGAAGAGAGACTAAAGGTGAAGAATTGTAATTACGACGTTCTTCTTCCGAGGTTTTTAAGTGATATCTTTATTAGTGGCCTGACATTTCGACGAGATGGTCTTTCTGAAAGTCCCAGTCTGCTACCGCAAGAGCAGAAACGTGCCACCTTCAGTTATGGTTGCTAACCTAAACTTAGCATGAGTACCAACCAATAAAACTGGCCTAGGGTGGCGCCTGTACTGCCTGCGTATTTAGTGCGTCGGACTGCAGCCTTGAGGAACATGATAATGTCGAAATGTCAGGACACAGGCAATATAAATGAAAAACGGCAAACGCTCTAATTTTGCTCTATACTGTGCCCCAACGATTTCGCTAAAATTGTGAAACCCGTCGAGAACTTTCCCTCTGCACCCCACTTCAACAAAACCCCTCAACGCCCGCTGTCAGAACCCCTCTGAAAATCTCAAATATGACCCTCTTCCCACAATAACCTTTCACAAAAACCAGAAAAAACGATCCATTTCCCTCAATAAAAGCCGAAAGAGTCTGAAGGGACGCCATCTCAACCATCGGCCGAAAACAAAACATCTACGGCTTTATTATATGTGAATGATTTCCATCTATAAGACCGATTGGGGAGCAATGGCTCGGAGCGGCCAGGCCCGCGCGGCGTTGCGGCATACGAAGTTATTACGTTGAGCAGGGGAAAGAGTGCTTCATCAGTGGAGGGTAGTAGCGCTGCTCTAACTGTCTGGCAGGTAGAAACACAGAGGTATGCTAGGTCCTATGACGCAACCCTTTTTGTCCCCCAGAGGATTGAATCAGAGGAGGGGGATATATCCCCCTGGGGGAAGGATTGAATACCGCCCCAGAATCGCTCGGCGCAATGTGGCTCGGAGGGGGCCAGTCGCCGCGCGCGGCTCAGCGATGCAGTGTAACTCGAACGTTCCAGCTTCTCACGGAACATTCCAGCTTCTTACGCATGCTAAGTGACTGCCCTCACCCCCCACCCCCCCCTGAATTGGCTACATTCCCTGAAGGGGGGAGGGGTCGCGCTGCTCTAACTGTCTGGCAGGTAGAAACACAGAGGTATGCTAGGTCCTATGACGCAACCCTTTTTTGTCCCCCCAGAGGATTGAATCAGAGTAGGGGGATATATCCCCCTGGGGGAAGGATTGAATACCGCCCCTGATGCGCATCCCAAAAGAATTTCGTAGCGAAATCAATGGAATAAATCCAAAATTTCTACTCTACTGAGTTCATCCTGACACTAAGCTATTGCATTCCCGGTTGGGTCCACTCAACGGAAGTATGGCCCAAAACGCCTAATATCTCTCTCCTCTTTTTGTTTTCTTCAGTGAATTTCCAATATTTCATCCAAATACAATCCCATCTACTCTTCATACAAAGGCCAACTTCAAAAACCCCCGTCCCACCAAGAATTCTGACAAATCGGAACCGCGTTCTCACCCCGGCGCTGCTCTATTAAAGGGGCGACTAGTGCGGGTCTCGAGACGATTACTCGATGCCGAGACGTCGCTCGGTTCGAGAAGCTCAGTGTACCATTTGAGGAGGTCTGCCTCGTTCGATCCACTTTCGATTAGGTTTCGTTTTTTTCCTTGAACGCCACAAGTGTGTTTTGTATTTCGCGCAACCGCCGCCTGTCAAGGCGGTACCCGTACCTACGGGAGCCGTAGGACGAGGCAGCGAGACTGGCTGTGGGCCAGGAAGGTCGACGCGGTAGCGTCGCGGTCGAGCTGACCTCGGGATTTCGGTGTTGAAATCCCCATTCCGGCTTATCGTTAGATTCTGACAGGTCGTGTCGCACATTTATCGTAAAGTTTAATATTTATATCGCTATTCTCCAGTTACAGTGAGGTTGTATACATTGTACTGGTGGTTGTTGAACGACTGATTCGTGAAGTTGATCCGTATATCTCTATCATTGTCGGGACTCGCAGTCTCCCACGACATAGTCGTTTACTGTAATATTGTGTTGTTGGTCATCTCAATGAATGGACATTGGTGAGAATCATTGGAAAGTTCATGGCCAAAGGGCCAATCAAAATGTGTTATTTTCCAATCCTTCATAGGTTTCGGCATGTAGTCATTGTATCCATTTTCTCAATGAGGATGGCGGCGTAATGTATAATTTTCCTTGTTTTTGAGACTAGTTGCCTTTATAGTTTAAGGGCACATTCTTTCCAGAAACAGCGTTTTCCAATTTACACAAGCCCACCCAAAAACAAAAAAAAAAAAAAAAAAGAAATGGTCGCTCGCGTCTCTCATGCTATTATAGTCCCGCATACCATTCGGAATTGTGCTGGACAAGCCACAATAGTACTGGTCTGGTGGTGTTCGCGTTTAGACTTTCTTGGTATTGATTACACTTTGCAGGACCCGTTGGCCTACTTGTACACCCTTCCCTTTCTGCGGGGAACGGGAACTGCTGCGCACTAAGGCTCTATTTCAACCAAATTCCACAGGGTTTTTTGCATTTTTCGGAAGAATTCGGTCAGCTTGTGAGCAGTATCTCAGTTCTTGGCTATTGAGCCTACATACGTTTATCACGCAGGTGCACAGACTAGACAGTTAGTTATTTGCTTAGGCTTCCGTAGGCTTGTAAGTGTTCCGCACTCTGACGCGATGAATTTAAGCAATTTGTAGGAAAAGGCTGCATTTCCTTACGGGCTACTGAGTCGATTTCCGTCCGCACACCGGTGCAAAGGTTGGCTACTGAGCCATATATGTTAGCACACTGGTGCAAGGTCGGCTACTGAGCCTATATTTGTCCGCACACGGTGTGTGAAGCAAGGACAAGTCTCTCCCAGAGTTAGTAGGCGTTATTGGGCCTTCTTAAGGCTTGACAGTGATCCGCACACCGGTGCGAAGAGTTTATCAAGTAATACAAAGTAGGCTTCAATGTCGGCTACTGAGCCATGTATGTTCGCCACATTAGTGCGAAGCGAAGAAAAGTATATTCGTATAGTAGGTGCTTCATTTAGCCTCTAAGGTTCGACGGTAATCCGTACACCGATGCGAGTAGTCTAGCAAGTAATACAAGCAAGGCTTCAATGTCGGCTACTAAGCCATATATGTTCGCACACCCGGTGCAAGGTTGGCTACTGAGCCAAAATATGTATTCGCACACTGGTGCAAGGTCGGCTACTGAGCCATATCTGTCCGCACACCGGTGCAAAGGTGGGCTACCGAGCCTAGGTCTGTCCGCACACTGGTGCGAAGCGTAGAAAAGTATATTCGTAGAGTAGTGGGTGTTTATTGAGCCTCCTAAGGTTCGACAATAATCCGCACACCGGTGCGAGTAGTCTAGCAAGTAATACAAATTAGGTTTCAATGTCGGCTACTGAGCCATATATGTTCGCACACTGGTGCAAGGTTGGCTACTGAGCCATATATGTTCGCACACTGGTGCAAGGTTGGCTACTGAGCCATATATGTTCGCACACTGGTGCAAGGTTGGCTACTGAGCCATATATGTTCGCACACTGGTGCAAGGTTGGCTACTGAGCCATATATGTTCGCACACTGGTGCAAGGTCGGCTACTGAAGCCACATATGGGCCACACACTGGTGCAAGGTCGGCTACTGAGCACATATCTGTCCGCAGACCGGTGCAAAGGTGGGCTACCGAGCCTAGGTCTTTCCGCTCACTGGTGCGAAAAGTAAGGAAAAGTATACTCTCAGAGTAGTAGGTGTTTATTGGGCCTTCTAAGGTTTCGACAGTAATTCGCACACCGGTGCGAATAGTCTTAGCAAGTAATACAAATTAGGTTTCAATGTCGGCTACTGAGCCTATATATGTTTGCACACTGGTGCAAGGTTGGCTACTGAGCCATATATGTTCGCACACTGGTGCAAGGTTGGCTACTGAGCCATATATGTTCGCACACTGGTGCAAGGTCGGCTACTGAGCCTATATGTTCGCACACTGGTGCAAGGTTGGCTACTGAGCCATATATGTTCGCACACTGGTGCAAGGTTGGCTACTGAGCCACATATGTTCGCACACTGGTGCAGGGTCGGCTACTGAGCATATATCTGTCCGCAGACCGGTGCAAAGGTGGGCTACCGAGCCTAGGTCTTTCCGCTCACTGGTGCGAAGTAAGGAAAAGTATACTCTCAGAGTAGTAGGTGTTTATTGGGCCTTCTAAGGTTCGACAGTAATTCGCACACCGGTGCGAATAGTCTAGCAAGTAATACGAATTAGGTTTCAATGTCAGCTACTGAGCATATATCTGTCCGCACACCGGTGCAAAGGTGGGCTACCGAGCCTATATCTGTCCGCACACTGAAGCGAAATAAAGAAAAGTTACTCCTAGGTTTTATTGGGCCTTCTAAGGTTCGACAGTGTTCCGCACACCAATGCGGGGACCTTAACAAGTAGTACAAATTAGGCATATCTGTGCGCACAGGCGCAAAGGTCGGCTTCTGAGCCTATACAATGTCGCACTCCGGTGCATGGGTGGACTACTGACCCCATATTTCATCTGTCCGCGAAGCAGAAAATGAATATCATTAGACCAGTAGGTGCTTATCCGGCCTTCTAATGCTCGACAGTGCTCCGCACACCGGTGTGAGGAATTAGCATAACGGTAGTAAGGTGT